AAAAAAAAAAAAAAAAAAAAAAAAAAAAAAAAAAGTAATGTGAAGTAAAAAAACAAAAAGTTCAATGAAAAACATTACCTTCTCAGAATTATTGGTTCGAACACCTAAAGGAACTTTAGATTCATAATCTGGTTTAGCCATAACTTCTCCAAGTTTTGCTAATTGAGCATTAAGTTTAGACTGTTTTTCTCCTAATTTTGCAATTTCCTTTTCTAAGTCAATAATTCCCTAAAAGCGATAAAAAAATTATAAAGTTGTTGGCAAAATGACGAAAAGTAGATGCAATCTAAATATAAAAAAATATCCAAGTATGAAATGCTTTTGAGGTGTAGAAGGTAGTTCGCAGAGAGAGGAATTTTTCAAAATCAAAAAAGTGAAGTGAAATAAAATACGAATGTATTATAAGTAAATAAACTGTCAAAAACTAAGAACCTCTAACGCTAAGGAAACCCCACACTTTGCAGAAACTGTCACTCGTGCGCAACCATGAGGTATTTCCGATAACTGCGAGCTATCGATAATAGTCACCTGAAGCGAGATAAACAGTGACTAGTTTCAGTAACAGTTGTTATTACTTCAAAGTCAGCATCGTTTTGCTAAACGACCTTTAAGAAACGCAACATTGAATCGAAAAAGACAACTAAGAATTTTAAAATTAGACGTGAAATTTAACTACCAATTGAAGTTAAAAGTTTATCAAGTAGAATTAACAGTTAAAAATCACTATCAGTTAGAACTAATAACACGGTAAAACAGAAGGAAGATACAAAATAACTCACCTTTTGCGAAGAAGCTAAGGTTGCGATCAAAGGTGTTAAACCTTTAATAGCATCAGCATCCTGCTTCTCGGTAAAAGACACAAACACTGCAACACGGATATTTGTGCGAGAGACTTTGACTATTAAAATGGATGAGTTCTTAAAGAAAAGTAGACAATGATCGAAAAATGAAAAATTTACAATCTATTTTGACTTTAGGCGGAAGGTCATAATCTGAACGCAACGAACGAACGGTTTTAACAATCGCCATTGCTTCTGCGATCCGACTTTCTAAAGCTTCGTTTCTATATCCAGCGAACTAAAATGAAAGAACTAAGGAGAGGCAAAAGTTAGAAGAAAAGTAAACTGATTGTAACCAGTACTGCAAAAGTTGATATTCTTATACATATTAAATACGAATAAAATATGTTGACCTAAATCATTCATGATAAAACAATAAATATAAAAAAAAAACTTGTAAACTGGAAAAAGGCGGAACCTCAACAGCCTCTGGGTAACTAGCAACACAGATACTTGGAGCATTATCAAAAGCTCTCCGTGGCAATCTTTGCCACAATTCTTCAGTAATAAAAGGCATAAAAGGGGCGAGCAAACGCAAACCGACATCAACGCACAGGTAAAGTATGTTACGAGTGTTTTCAACCAGAGATGAGTCACCTTAAAACAAATCTTAACTAATTAAGGGTTTAGCGCGAGCATAAAAGTAAAATTCGAATTTTAGGAATGAAAGAGATAAGATTATTAAAGAATTTTGTCCAAATAAACAAATGAACAACGAGACTGATGCAAATTAGCTCTTTGACAGAGAATAAAAAAGATAGCAACCCTCTTACAAAATAATAAAAATTGAAAATGAACTTTAAAAAAGCCCTGTAGCGCGAGTTTCGAACAAATAAAATAACAAAAAATAAAAATACTCAAACTGAAAAATCACTTTAAAAAAAACAGAACATTATAAACATCATAAAAGAAACCTTGAGAAAATACTGGCTTGGAGCCTTCAAGATAAATGTCACACAAATCATAAAGCCAGAAGTTGAAAATCGCGGTTGTCGCGAGTTGAAATGCGTAGTTAGCCATGCCGTAGTTGCTAGCTTCTACAGCAGCGGCAAGCCGAGAAAGTATCCATTGGTCCAGAATTGACTCTTCATTAGATAACTTTAAAGAAATGAGGAAATCAAAGATTACAATAGGCACAAAGTCATAAAGGCATAATTTGGCTGTCTTCAAAGTATACGTTGATATTTGAAAAATTTCTCGTTAAGCAAACTTTTTAGTACGCAATATAGCTCAGTATAAATTTAAAACCAATATTCTAAAAAACTTTATTTGTTGTTTAGGGAAGCCTGCAAAGCTTACCTTAAAATAAGGTTCAGGAACAAAAGTACTTCCCAACTGCATCAACGTGAACCTAGTTGCTTGCCATATCTTGTTGCAAAAGAACCTGTATCCTTGAATGCGAAGAACATCCAAGTTAATGTCACGACCATGACTAGTGTAAGCCAGCAACGCAAAGCGTAACGCATCAGTCCCGCATTCAGGAATTCCATTAGGATAATCGCGCGCTTGGCCCTCCTTAGCAATTTTCAGCTCTCTACAATTAAAATTAGAAAAAATATCAACCAACAACCAACCCAGAAAATAAATTCTCAAAATCAAAAAGGACTTTCACCAAAACTTTATCGTTTCCATATCAGTAGTATATCTAATTAAGTACTGTCCCAGACTTGCTCTGAATGTCTAACCCATTCTCGAAACTTAGTTGTTCCCCTTCTCCCTACCGATAAAATTTGCATTATTCTTTAAATGTTATAAACCAACTCATCACACTACTCAGCAAATTTTCTTGCAGTAACCCACCGTGCAAAAAATCCTTTAAAGCTTACGGTAATGACAAAGAAATAAACTCTGATAATAAAAAGCCCAGAAATTGAGGTACTCACCTTGGGTCCAAATTACCAACTTCAAGCTGTCTGTTTAACCCCTCCAAACTGATCCCGTGAATGACATCCAGTGGATCTATTACATTGCCTAATGACTTGCTCATTTTTCGACCATGTGCATCTCTAATCATAGCATGTAAATAAACCTAGAAAGTCAATCTTGCAAAAGAAAGTTAAGAAGATTTTTCAGTGCCACTCGAATTCATGGAAAGAAATGCAAGTTTAAAACAATGAATGCCTCTTAGTTTGCTTTTAGGTGTAAAATACGTGTTCTCCGGCAAAATCCTAAAACGCTGCCTTAAGAAATTCTTCCTAAGCCTTAGCCTAGAGACCATATCCACTTATAACTACACAAATTAAAAAAATATTTCAAGAGAAAATTTCATGTAAACCTCTTTGAAAGGCAACTTTCCAGTCAACTCCTGCGACATAAATACCATACGGGCAACCCAAAAGAAAAGGATGTCGTGCCCAGTCTCAAGAACTGAACCAGGGAAGAAAGCATCAAGATCTGTAGTTTTTTCTGGCCAACCGAAAATAGTAAAGGGCCACATTCCCGATGAAAACCACGTGTCAAGAACATCCTCATCTAAAAGTTCAAGGCCTCACAACTTCCTTTGTTGAGGCAAAACGGATATCCTTGTTAGAAAACCAACAACTATTTAAAATATGTCAACAGTATAAGAATACTAGAAAACACAGTAAGTAAAACAGACCCCATTTCACTGTAACCTTTTCCTTCGACACCTTAAATTTGGCCGCAGCTTTACTAATGGCTTCTTCTTCATCATGTGCACTAACCCAGTAGTCATCATTGTCAGAATCTCCTGGAGGTATTGACGGGTCATCTACCGTGACGAAGTACGCTGGAATACGATGACCCCACCATAACTGGCGAGAGATACACCAGTCCCTAAAAGCGAAAATTCAATTGAAAGACGCGACCGTGCTCAAAATTAAATATCTCATTATGCTGTCCAATAAAAATTTTAATTCACTGGAACATTAACTCAGCACTGTGGTCTAACAACTGTAACCACAAGGGAACTGTTAAAATTTTCTCAAACAAAAAAGAAATGAGTAGTTCCTATGAAATTTATAAAAATAAAAACATAAAAACAATAAAAACAGTCAAACTCATAAGTAAACAGCGAGCGAAAAAATGGCAAACAAAAACAGGATAACCATATATTATCCTTTTGATAAGCTACTTTAAAATTAATTTTTACCTGCTTCCTTGAAGCCATCTATACCAAGTTGCGACATGAAAATCAGGAATAATTTTCAAATCACCACTTTCTACGGCTTTCTTCGCTCTTTCAGCCATAACGTTACACTTTACATACCACTGCGCCTTCATAATGGGTTCAATAATGTCTTTTGACCGACTAAAAACCAAGCGCTGAGGAGTATTTCTACTGTTAGTATAAAATAAGAAATTTGAAGAAACCTGCAAATAGGAACAATCATCGCGTTGTCTTTCGTGCTCCTATAATAACCTGCTTTTTTTAGTGCTTCAAGAACGGCCTCCCGAGCTTCAAACCTTTTCAAACCCTAAATCTTCTTCTCGTTAAATTAAGAGAAAAATTATAGGTGCACTTAATACTGTAAGAGACTAAGAACAATAAAACGGTAAAAGCAAAAATGAGAAAAAAGTAATTAATTTGAAAAGTTACACCAATTCTGCTATCGTTCATAATCAATAAAATTAACAAAAAAGAAAAACATTTTGGCACTCTAAAAACCTAAGAGAACAATTATATAAATCGAAATAAAAACAAACTTTAAACTGGCCACACTTGTCATTCATAATGCCGTCATCTGTGAAAATTGTTATAAAAGGAAGGTTGTGACGAAGACCAACTTCGTAATCATTGTGATCATGCGCAGGAGTAATCTTCACAGCCCCTAATTAAGAATGTCAATCACAAAAGAAAGAAATGCTAGTAGTAATTCTATAAGTAACGGAAGCCAACATCGAAGTGAGCGATTGAGATACCTGTTCCAAATTCTTTTTCTACAAAAGAGTCAGCCACGATGAGCAGTCTCCGATCAAGGAAAGGATGCTTACAATACTGAAAATTATTTTCTCAAAACTGAATCCTTGATTCTTTAAAATACAAGATCGATAAACGATACAAGATTCAAGAAATAAAGCAAGGTAACAATAAACCTTTCCAATAAGATGCTGGTATCTGTCATCATCTGGATGTACAGCAATAGCTGTGTCACCAAGCATTGTTTCAACACGAGTGGTGGCGACAACGACTTCCTCATCTAAATGCAATAAACGTGTTCAAATGATAAATGCCGAACAGCTTGAGCAAGAGGTCATACGCTAAAAAGAATAGTTAGAGCCTAAATGTGACTTTACAGCAAAAAAAAAAAAAGGTAAGCTGTCAGATACCTGAGTCTTCAACTGGATAGGCAAAAGAGACAAGAACGCCAAATTCGACCTTGTTTTTGTAACCAGGTACTGAAAGTAGTGTCCTGCCCGTAAGCTCTATTTTATCTACCTAAAAACGATCTGATGAACAGTTTAAAAAAAAAGTAGAATTCTTATTGAGACCGGATGTTCCAAAAGATGCAATAAGATGCGAAAAATGCTTCTTTCTATTCCTGTCTCTAAAACGATGTAGAATGACAAATTTAAAGCTCTGGTTGAGAAATATCCGAAAATGCAAGTAAGTACTCAAAACATACACGACCTTATCAATTGATAAAGAGCTGAAGAGAAAATAAACCTACTTCAATGTCAGATATGGCTGAGCGCAGTGTACAAGACCAGTTTACAAGCCTGTTGCTCCGATAAATAACACCGTTGTCGTGCATCATTATAAAGGCATGAGCAACGGCGCGCATTATTTTAGGGTCCATCATAAAACATGCTCTATCCCAATCAACACCTGCCCCCATTTTACGAATTTGGTCGTATATCGCCATACCTTTTCTGAATTTAAGAATCTAGATAATTAAAACTTGAAGTCAAAAGGCCTATTAATACTAGCAGAAACAAAAACCAAATAAAATTTCGAAGAACAAAAAACATGTCCAATCAAAACTGAAAAAAGAAGTAAAAAATACCAGATGTCCCCTAACCTTTATGCCAGTGTCTTCCACCCTTCTCCACTTTTTTTCAAAAAAGATAATGACCAATAAAACTTTGCAAAACTATTCAAGATCTTTGGAAAGTGTTAAGACACGCAGCGCAGCTAGTGAAAAAAGCTGTTAGCAAATGCAGAACTGAAACAGTTAAGGACCTAAATCTCCGCAAATTTTATTTTCTAAAGTTTACAGAATTAAAAATCGACGTACTCATTCTTCCATTTCCAGACTTCTTCTACAAACTTTTCTCGCCCTAAATCGTGCCTGCTTAAACCTTTTTCCTTCTTCAGTCTCTTTTCTACTACCACCTGTGTGGCAATCCCTGCATGATCGCAACCAGGATTAAACAATACCGTCTCGCCCTTCATTCGATGCCTATATTAATGTGTCTGGTGAAAAAAAAAACAAATGTCTTGTAGAAAATGAGGACTACCTTAACATTATCCGGAACTGAAATTCTTATGTCGAGGACCACTTAAAGTAATTTGAATTAGAAAAGATTATTTCCATTTCACATAAAGGTTGAATACGATAAAGTAAAATAAAAAACTAAGAACTGACCATCTGCAGATAACATCTTCAACAGAGGTTGCCAAAGCATGTCCCAAGTGTAGGGTGCCAGTAACGTTAGGAGGTGGGATCACTACAGTAAAATGACCCTTCTCATTCGGTTTACTGCAAATCACAAAGGATAACGAACAAGAGCCCAAGCAAAAATCAAATAAGAAAGAGTAAATTAAAATCCTTCATTCATTAAAAGCAAAAGTTTACTTGACTTTTCAAAAAAACAAAAAAAAAAGTAATATAGGCAGGAAAAACTCATTTCTAATTCCCAGGGGAATTAAGCTTCACCTATAACCGTGAAGTACACTACAAAAAAAAATTGCCGAACGGTACAAAAAGATGCAGAAAAAATTTTAAGAACAATTACCTTATATCTCGACCGCCATATTCTGGTTTGAAGAAACCTTCATTTTCCCACCACTCATACCAAGCTGCTTCAACATACCTCGGACTGTATGCGTTTGGCATTTCATGCGAGACATCTTTTTTTGCTCCTTTCGGTGTATTGAATGTGTATTCTATTACATCTTTTTTAGGTTTGCGAATTTCTTTCTAAAAAAAAATTTTTTTTGACCACTATATCGAGTAAATGAGGTAAATGAAAATTAATGAAAATCAACACATAAAGGTGTATCAGTTCTTATATTTGTAAAGTATTTTTTAATTAAAAATTCATAACAAACCTCTCCAGCTTTGTTAGCCATTTGTAATTTTTTCTCTGCCATTCTTTTTTCTTTCTCACGAAATTTTGCTAATTTTTCAGCTTTTGCAGCCTCCTTCTTCAGTTGGACCGCTGTCTTCTTTTTCACTTCATTTGCAGCTTCTTCAACAGCCATTACGAACCCTGAAAATACCATCAAATAACAATGAAGAAATTATTCAGGAAAAAAAGATTTAAACATCTTTGATAGCAACAAATTTTTATTTTGCTAATTAATGGTGGTATTCAACAGTTCTATTTTCTATGCAATCTGAAAGCATTCAAAGCAATAGAAGAGAACACGCATAGAGATGCTTTTTAAAGATCCATAAAGACTGATGTAATTTGTGTAGTTTTCTATGAATACTACAAAAAAAAGGAAGTTTTTGAAATTCTCAAGCAACATTTACAGTAGTCATTGTTTACACTTTCAAAGTACAAAAAAATTTTAGCAGCTAAACTGCCATTTTAAAAATAAAATTTGTCGAGTAGCAAACAAAATATATATATATATATATACTCGCGCTCATTTCTAATTTTAAGTCAAAGTTTACTGGCGGGAAAATGGCTTTGTTTTGGGAACTACTTCCGCAACTTTGGCGCAGTGCCACTGCGATGTGAAGGGGTACCTATACGTTAAGCCAGCGGACTCCGAAAAGGTATGGAAAACCTTTGCATTACACGCGTGCATGACGTGTAACAAAGAGCATTTGTTTAAAAGTGTTAAACTTGCCTGTTTTCGGAATTTCATGCTTCTTGACCTGCATTCTGCTGAGATTTTAGCAAAAATGTGAGAGCGTTTTTGTTTTTGTACACATTACCTTTTAACTTAATTACTTTAATAACTCAGTTAGTTGCACGGAAACAGCTATCAGTACTCCTGTCGTAAGATTCTACATAGTTAAGAGTTATAGAATGTGGGAAGAAAATATAGGAAGACTACGAGGAAGATACGCTGTCGTAAAGTGGTAGTTCGAAAAAATCTCATTTGCCAAAAAGTAAGAAAATATG